TGGCCCAGCATGGGAACAGACTTACGTGTGGGCCATTTCCTCAAGTCCAGTGGCTACCTTTGACACTGGGTGAGGTCTGAGGAAGTCCCCCTAAAGAAGAGGGGGTAGGTTCTTGATGCTTATCACGGAAAAGACAGGATGTGTCAGTGACAGCTGCGGGCAGGTGTATTAGCAGAATCAAAAAATATACACACTTAGAAAAGAGTGCCAGTGCTCAAGGGTGGAGGTGTACTGCGGCCCTGGGGTCGGGGGTATTTATGTGGCTTTGGGGTATCTTGAAGACAGATGATCTACGGCATTTATCCTTTGATTTTTATTTATTGTTTACTTACTGTCTGTCACATTACCCATTGATGGGCTAAAGCAAAAGCTGACTTGAACCAAGTTAAAATGCAGACTATTTGAATGTGTTTAAAATTTAGAAATCTGGTACCCAGTTATTAACCTTGCCTCCTTAAGGATGGAAATCTGTAGAATTCGTGGATTAACAGTATTGGAAGAAAAACACAGGCCCAGTTTATGAACTTAGTACATGTTTAAGACTCAGGACTCAAGTGAGGAGCCTGGAAGAAAACGAGGGTTAGGAGTGAGAACACATTGTAATCGTAGGTAAATTTGACTATGTCTTGAAGCTTCAGTATCCTCAAGATTACAGTTTGCTTGAGTTGTTTTTACCATTTCTGTGTTTTCTATCCTACTTGCCCTCTGTCGTCAAAAAGGTGATCACTCCCTGGATCTCCAGTTCCTGATTTCTCATGAGGTTACTGTATTTATTGTGTCACACCGTGCCAAAAATAAAGCTGAAATTCTGCCCATTGGCTCATAGACTTATTCTCTGGTTTCCCAAAGTAAAAGCTTTGGGGTCTTCATGTGGGGTCATCATGTAACCTTGATGCTTTTATTGTAGCATTATTTATTGTGACCTCCTGAGTAGCCTCCCTTTTGGTTCCATTCCACTTCTGCAGTTACTTGCCTCCTCCTTTAGTTTAATAAGACCAATCTCCTGATTAAAGGTCCCTGCCCCTGCCCCATCTTCCTTACAAGGAGCGAGCTACTTCCCTTCCCAGTCATTAGCACCTGTGCCCTGCATGCAGCAGACGCTCAGAAATACTTCTTGACAGGAAAGCAGAAGAAAGACTGTTAAAGATGAGGAAAAGGATGGGCAGGGGAGAGGACAGAGAGGAGGGCGGGGGTTGGGGGTGAGAATAATGAAGTGAGTTATGTACATGTGCCAGTATGCAAAACGAAATTCATGATTCTGTATAATAGAATGTGCATTCATTTAAAACATTTTAAAATTTGTTGAGTGGATGAATCTGGTTTGTCTTCTTGCTAACTCTACAGTCCCTGTGACCTGGCACTGTGAAGCTGTGCATTCTGCTCCTCACCATTCCCAGACACCTCAGCCTCTACACCATTTACTGTTACTGTCATTTTCTTCTGTGTCCTTCATTAAGTGTTCTCTTGGACACCTGATAACATTCTGTTCAGTTCTCAAGATGTAGTTTTGTCTTTTTCACCATTTTCTTTTCTTTTCTTTTCTTTTCTTTTTTTTACCATTTTGTTTATTGTATTTGATTATTCATTGTATTTCTAACTTTTTTTGTCTGACTCTGTTCTTAAGTTTTGTACTTCTGATTCTAAGTGTTATGTTCTTTGTTTTTAAAAACCTGTAAGGTTTGTGTGGGGGTATCTAATTGAGTTTTGAGTGTTAGGTTATAGTTTTCTTCTGTTTCCTGAATGTTTTGATAATTTTCAGCATTTGTTTAGTTTTGTTCCATGTTTTTTTTTTTAATTTCTAAGCATTTTATGGTGTTTTTTTTTGGTTTAAACATTTTTGGTTTAAGAGCTCGCTCTCTTTTGGCAGCATAAGGAGATTTAATTTCTTTAATAGCTGATGGCGGTAGTGGTAGTGGTGGTGGTGGCGGCAAGAGTCTGACGTATCTTGTTTCTCTTTCCTTGGTGCAGTATCCTTAAGTTGTCCCTTCCCTCTTCCTGCCAGGGCACCGCTGCTTTGTATCTTCTTTTCCAGAAGCATCTATACTAAGATCACTTCTTCCAGACCCTTACTGTCTGTCACCTTCCAGCCCTCCCCTAGTTATCGCTGGTGCTAAGAACTGCCGGGTCTCAGACTTGGGTTTGACTATGCTGGTACCTAGCACAGGTCTTTATCACTTTAGGGCTGTTTCGTCTGTGCTGCATGCCCCTCCTTGTGCATTTCCCCCGCTCTGCATACCCTCTGATTGGCGGCAGCAGCAACAGGAGCACTGCTGGAGTTAGGGTTTACTTCTTCACTTCTGGGTGATTTGAAGTGTGTGGCGTCCTCTGTCCCTCACAATGCTAAGTGGCTTGGGTCTCCTGATGACATTTACCCTCTTGTTGATTCTATGGTCTTTTGGGAAAAATATGTACAACATTTTGGATCCATTAAGTGGCCCTTGTGTTCCATACCTAAAAGCTCCTACAAGGGAAGTTATAGTCTCCCTATGTGCAGATAAAAAAACCCAACACTCAGGAAGGCTCAGTAACTTGGCCAAGATTGCTCTGATAGTAAGTATCAGGATACAAGAAGATCTTGTGTGTGTGTGTGTGTGTGTGTGTGTGTAGGCATAGATATAGCTTCAGAGGAGAAAGTTTAATACCATATTATGAAGCTTGCCTACCACTGGGTTCAATCCCCAGTACTACAGTCAGTAAAAATTTAACAGGGTACAATAGAACAAAATGTACATAAATCATTTAATATCTTCCTACTTTCCTTCACCTTTTCATCTGTTACGTGCTTGAACTTGAGGAACTCTCTGTAGAGTAGTTAGGCTTATTTCTTGATCCACTCAGATTTCTCCTTCAGGGCTCAGTTCTGCATCAAATTCTTCTATTTTCTAGAACTTTAGTTCCTGTCTGTATGCTGTTTACATCTAGACACTGACCTTTTGGCCCATTTCAAAGTAAACCTTTGTCATAAAATCCCTGGCTGGATGTTTCAACCAGAATCTCCTGTCAAGGTACTTAAATCCAGAATGCTTATCGTGGTTCCACCTCCAGCAGGAGATAGTTCTGAGCTGCAGGGCCAGGTTATCTAACTGCTACTGACCATCTATACTAACACCACTAGTAAACACTTGACATTTCAGACATAAAATAATGATAGCTGATGTATTTTATTGAGATGAGTGTGTGCTAGGAATCATGCCACCTGTTTTGCATGCATTACTTTATCATGAAATCCATGAAAGTTCTACCATAATTTCCATTTTTGCACATGATGAAAACAAATGCCTGGATACTTACCGAGAAGCTAGTAAATCTGACTGCCCTCTTAACAGCTGTGTGGTGTGGTTTCTGAACTGAATTCAGATGTTTCATTCTACAGTATAGTCCTTAGCATTTCCTTTCACGCTAAATGATCTACGATCTACTCAGGAGCGTGAGAAAATTGGAGACATTCTTGGTACCTGCTTCTCTCTCATTTGCTAGCATCTCCTCTACCTCAGTGTATCTTGGGTAATTGTCTTTTTAAAATGCAGATCTCTTTGCACTGCAGTGTTCAAAGCCTGCCAGTGACTTTCCCTTGTACTCAGAATGAACTTAATAATCACTGCTCTGGCTTCAGAGGCCACTGCTTGTCCTCCCGGGCTCAGCCTCACCTCCCTTGCCTGACGAGGCCACACTTGCGCTTCCTCAGGCTTTTTCCTGAAACTCTCCTCAGCTCACCTTCCCCTGAGGAACTCCTCCTCCTCCTCCTAGTTTCATTTTAAATGTCATTTGCACAGAACAGATGCCTCAAATCCTGCGATGTAAATCAAGACTCCCTTTATGTTCTCAGGTTCCTATACAGCACCTTCACAGCATTAAACACCATTTATGAATGTGGACTCATGTGGGATTGTTGTTCTGGTACCTGCCTCCTCTAGCCTGCAGTGCCCTCAGAAGGCCGGGGCCATGTCCATCGTGTTCACCCTTGAACTTCAACTCTAAGCGGATGGTGGACATTTAGCAAACACTTGAATAAAAAAAAAGAAAGTAGACTATTGGGCTCAGTTTCTGCCTGTGTGTGAGATGAGCTGGGATGGTGCTTCTCCTTTCTAATTCTCCACGTTTGTCTGGTGGAAACCTAAGGCCCCCAGGCACGGGACCCACCTGAAGCCCAGCAGGGCAGTGAGTGGGGGCTCAGGAAGGGACAGTGATGCATACTGGATGTCTAAGACCTGAGGAGGGCAGAAAGAGCCAGATCTCTGCTCTGTCTCAGTGGGGGAGCCTATTGTGATCCTTGATAGGGGTTGAAGGATTGAATTAGACCTAATTTGTCAAGTTTGTGTTTGTGTTTGGTAAGCCATCACTCTGTCAGTATTGTAAAGTCAAACTTAGCAACAGTTACTATGGTATTGTTTTTTTTCTTCCTGCTCCTTTCAACTAGAGGAATATCTGTGTTTAATTTGCTGTGGCATAAAATCCCATTAACTATGAGTGTGCCATATTCTGTTTGCAAGGACTTTCTATAAGAATGGAAAGGAGTTTGCAAGGGATGCTTCATGCTTGATTTCCGTGGTGGAGACAGTACTCACCGCGAGCCCCTGCAAAGCTGTGCTACGTCCTTGTGACCGTCTAACCTCTCTCCAGGACCCCTGTGTTGGGTATCTTTTCAGGCTCACTGTAATTTTGGTTTTGAGGGCAGCTGTTCTTTCTGATCACACATTCTTCCTGCCTAAAGCAGTGAAGCTGCAGAAGAGCCACGATGATTTAAATTCTAAATTCCTGTACCAGTGACAGTTCCCTCGTAGGCAGTGGTGCCAAGTGCAGATGATTCTCTTACTGCTGCTTTACTGCATTCTCTCCATCCGACTACAGGTTATCATGGCAGCAGACAATTGTGTGTGCTTGTCATTGTGTAATTTTGCCTTTTGAAATGCTAGATTCCATGCAGAAAGAAATGTGCATTATCATATTTCCATGCTTGTGTATTTATTCCTGGGCTTCTTCAGAATACCTGAGCACAAAGGGCCATGTTCCTTTCAGACTGCACTTGGAGATGTGAACCGCTACACCCAAAATGCTTCCAGTCACTTGGCGATTGCGTGGGGTGAGTAGTAACTTGCTAATTCATAGGGGGAAATCACCATTTCCTTTGGCAAACTGTTGCCCAGAAGGAGTGAAGCATTGAGTGTTAATCACTTTATCTCGCCTTTAAGAAAATGTTATTAATACTTTACAGCAGGGATTGGCAGATTTTCTCTGTAAAGGGCCAGATTATAAATAGTTGAGGTTTCACAGGTCATGGCTTCTTTTGCCAGCTATTCCACTCTGCCATTATAGAGCAAAAGCAGCCATAGACAACTTATAAAGAAATGGACATGCTGCATTCCAGTGATGCTTTTACAACAAAATAAGTAGAGGATTAGATTTGGCCCAAGGGCTATAGTTTACTGATATAATTAGCATACTTGAAAGCATGGAAGGTTGTCAGGTTAAAACAGAGGAAAAAAGAAAAACAGGAAAGAAGGGACGGAGGGAAGAAAGACAGAGAGAAAAGAAAAGCGAAAGCGAGGGAGGCCGGGAGGATGTGGGAAGGAGGGAATTTTCTTAGCACATGGCCAGTCCTAAACTAAGACTTTAGAGAGACAGTGTGTGTTAAACAAGCACAATTATATTTGATGTTGTCTGTATCACAGATAACAAGATTGAGTTACTGGAGGCCACTTGAGTAGAATCAAATTTAGATAGGCAGAGCGATGTAAATCCTACCACATTCCTTAGAATTATTGCTCACACTTCTGCACTATCTTTGGTCAGCATGAATTTAGATGTCTGCTGTTCTTTTCTTCTGACTTAATGATCCTTCATCCACAACCACATCTTAGAATTACTTTATATTTTCTGCTAAAATAATATGATCTTTTGGCATGCAGTGCTCCAGGGATCACCGCATATAGCCCTGATGCAGATATCAGAAACACTGGTTTCTCTGCAGCTCCTGGACATTTGTGATAGAGTGGACTAGGCAGAATCTATGGAGGTGGCAAATATCCAAACCGCTATATGAGAGAAATTCTCACCATTGATGAGTTCTGAAAAGACAGGCTTCGGGCATCCCTTTTGGAAGGGAAGGAGAATCGATGATAAATTGAGTTGGTGGTCATTCTCTTCTGTGAGGAAGCCTCTTCCAGGAGATATGGATGATTGAATATGACATGGCTAAATGTCTACTCATAATTCAGTGGTTAGTAAAAGTTTAGATCTGGCTCAACTGTTTTCATTTCACAGTTGGGGAAATGGAAGTTGTCCCATCAACAGCATCATGCTCATTCTCTACTGCTAGAATCTGTTAAAGATTCTGAAAGGATAAGCTGAGTGCCTATGGATTTTATTGGTCATTTGCAGATACAAAAGACATCATTTTTTAGCATAAATGTTTAGTATTAAATGCTACCTTTGAGGCGTGCTTATACGTAAAAGTGAATCCTTAGATATTCACATTTAACTGATGTTTTTGTATTTTATTTTGCATTTAGGGGCACACAGAATGAAAATTGGGAAAGAATAGTTAATGGCAGCTAGTAGAATACACAAGTTTCCAAATTCTGGCCCCCACTGGGTGAGCTTATTATTGAAAATACCTGACAGTGGTATTTTTTATAGGGATACCTGCATTCCATTTTTTAAAATTGCAGTGATGTAGGGGAAAGAAACTCCCAACCTGCTAGATGTCTGGTACTAGTTCGTGTTCTCTAAAATAGAAGACTGAATTTTAGGAACAATGGAGGTTAAGAGCAGAATATATTTATTGGGGAAAGAAGGCTTCTGTCTGAGAGAGACAGAAGGGGTCCCAAGTGGGTTGCCAGGTATTAGTATGGTTGAGCAGTGCCCTCAGGGAACTGTGGAAAGCTCTGGGACCTGCTGGTTTATAATGTTCACTCTCTGGTGTTTTCTGGAACAGAACTTCTCAAGGAGAGAGAGTGGTTCTCTGGAATCGACCCATTGCCCTCCATGGGCTGAGACTCCCCAAGGTTTGCTCCCTTGAGTCAGGGGTTGAGTAATTCAGAGGCTGTCTTCAGTTCCTGCCACTTACCCATCCTCCCACCACATTCCTTTCATATCACAAAGTGACATCAGAGCCTAGGGTTAAAGGAACGCTGGGGACAAAGTGGATGTTACTGGGGGAGGGGAATGGCAGAGGAATGGAGCTTCCATTCCAGCGCTCTGTTCTCACTCAGCTCCTCTCCTCTCCCCCTTTTCACTGCTTCTTTCTGAATGGTATCACTTTGGAGTTTAAAATAACCTTGGGAAAAATGATTTGATCCAGCATCCTTGGAATTCATTCAAGTCTTGGTGCTTGCATCATCCGTGGCGTGACCTTGATGTCTCCAATTTCTGTGCTACAGGAGAGGGTAAGTCAGTTGAGAGACTCAGCTCTGCTTGGGCATCTCTGCTTGACTCAGAGGGACACTTGAACAGTAATGTGGTGCATGGGCTAGCAAGGAAAGCTTTCCTGTTCGACGCAGGAAAGCTGGAGAGGTCTGTGATGAACTAGAGGAAACAATTAGAGAGTTAGTGTTTAGAGACATTAGCAGAACTTCCTAGAGAAACGGCCCCTCCCATGGATGGGAGGTGGTAGGCTGTAGGGGGGATAGAACCTAGAAGGTGGCTTTTTGTGTGCTGTGGAATTAGATTACATAAGACTCTTGTCAGAGTGAGAGGTGGAATGGGGACTTCAGCTTGAAGCCTTGGCTTATCTGGAAGTGACCAATCTTTGTGCTGTGGTGTTGTGTAATCTCCTCTACCCTAACAAAGGAGCAAGAAGTGGGCAGTTTGGAACATATTTTTTTTTAGCTCCTTCACAAATAGTGGCTCAGATGGTCTTCCTCAGGCAACTCCTGAAACCCAGCAGTTGGTGGCCTGTGCTGGCTGGCGCTTCTTCACGAAGTCATGTGGAAAAGAGTGGATGGAGGAGCATCTGAGGCAGCGTGAGGAAAAGCAGTTCCCCAGCTCGTTTTGCAGCAGAGCTGAAAGGCCAAGGAACTTGCTCTCCAACACTGGATAGTAAGCATTTTGGAGCACTGCAAGGAGGCACTTGGTGCACACAGCTATTACTTAAAGATGATATCAGTGTAAAAGAATTCATCCAAATGATGTTCTTGTAAGTATAATATTGAGCTAGAATGTCCTTATTTAAAACCTTGCTCTGATGTGCTTACTCATTTTGAAACTTGGCCCAACAGCAGCACACCAGGCCAATTTGTTTACTTTTCCCCTGACTCACTGGCATTTGAGCAGAGGACACCTGCATAATTGCAGCTGCAACTTGTGTTCTCTTTTTCTGTGCATGTGTGTGTGTGTGTGTGTGTGTGAGAGAGAGAGAGAGAGAGAGAGAGAGACTGTGTTGCACCTAAGTTCCCTAACAGACATTAAAAAATGAAGTGATACTCCACATGTGCACTTCAGCTGGGCTCACTTGAGTTGAAGATACCTGTGCCTTAAAGCTGAGGGCCGACTGTCTAGCTGTCTGATTTCTATGCCTGATCACGTCCCATTAAGAACTTAATGTCTGCTGTCCCTAATGCAATTTTATGTAAACTAATAAACATTATTTTGGCTGGTCAAGCTTCAGTGGGTTTTATGATAGTTGATTCTCAATTATGAACATATGAATTATCCAGAATGGTTAAAATCCTAAACCAGCTTCCTTCTAGAATGTGCTTTGAGGCACCTTCTCTTGGTCAGCTGGTGTGTATTCAAGATTCACACATTTGGAAGGCCTAAATTTTTCATTATTAGGAAATTATGAAAGACGGCTCATGCCATGTACTTTGTAATCAAGCATAAGTAACGTTTGTGTTATCCAATCTTCTGGCCTATCAGTTTTATTACTATGTTTTCAAGCAGGAATTATTGTAAAGTGGATGTATACTGGGGGTCTGAAGAAAATATATTAAGGATCTCTTCAAATGTAGAATGTAGCCTGTGAGTAAGCACAGATTCTCTCTGTTGTGAATTTTCTGTTTGTCTGTTGCCTCATGGTTTAGAAATTACATGTATATCCTTTGCCTCACTTGATATTTGGCAACAACTGAAGGTTATTTTTAATAAGATGTGCAGGGGTTGTTACCTCTAGTTTGTAGATGAATAAAGCAAGGTTCAGAGAGGTTGTGATTTGTCTGAAGGACCGTAACTAAGTACGCAGAAGGGTTTTTAGTCCTTCAGAAAGACCTTTGATTGTGGAAAATTTCAAGCGTGCTCAACACAAACAATAGTATAATGGACTGCAGTTACCCATCGTTTACCTGCCGCGGTTATTGATACCCTGCCATCCTTGGGTCATCTGTGAATTCACGAACTCTCACTCCACATGGTGATATTGCTGGTTTAAACATAGTTCTTCAAGCAGAGTTTACACACACAAAAATGTATTAATCTTGGCTGTACAGTTTTAACAAATGAGTATACCTATGGAACCTGTGCCCTGTCCTGATAGTTCTGTCTCCTCAGAAGAGTCTCCCATGCCCTTTCTCAGCTCCCCAAGCTGTCTAGGCAAGTGCTGTTCTGCTTATTTTCACCCAAGACTACTTTGCTTGTCCATGAACTGTGAATGCAGAGCCTCAGTGCATACTTTCTTTGTGTCTGGCTTCTTTTGTTCAGCATTATGGTTGTGAAGCTCCACTCTTTGGAGCCAGAGTTTAGTGCTGTTAGTGGAGTTTGGAGCTGTACCTCCCCTGCCCCCCCCATCGCACGGTTACACAAAGATGATTTCTTGAATGATGAAGCTCAGCTTTCTCATCATGTCTTCAGCTTACATAGAGAGATTAGCATTTTTGTTTGTGAAGAATCCATTGTTCCATCCAGTGACAGCTGACTTCGTTTGGAAGGTTACTGTAGAGGAGATGCTACACCGTGGAAATAATTCTCCCATAGCTAGCTCCATCATTGGCTCGTAAGGGAGGTATCACCGTCTCTCCTGCCCCTACTGATTTCCTGTAATGAACCTGCCTGTGTGTGTTTCTTGGAGTTGTCTTGATCAAATTCCTTTTGAGGTTGTGCTGACTTTTTAAGGTCAAGTACTGATAATTGTGAGATCCAGAAAGCCAT